CAGAGCCTACCTCTCAGGATAGTTGTGAGGGTTCAACACGTGGGCAGGTGAAAAGCTGTTCTAACTTTCCCTCAGGGACCCTTCCTTTTCTGGTCACTGCATAGAAGCTGATGCTATGCTGCACGGTAAAGCCATCTTTGTCAAAGAGCTTGCAGACACCTGAACATCAGACTGTAGCCTTTGGAAAGTGTAAAATTATGAGTGCTACTTATTTGTTGCCTAGTTATTTTAAGTTAATAATTAAAGAAAGGAACCAGGCTTCCCTGGTGGCTCAGTGGTAAAGAACCAACCTGCAATGCAGAAGTGGGTTCAATCCCTGAGTAAGAAAGATGCCCTAGAAGAACGAAATGGCAACCCACTCCAGTATTCTTCCCTGGGAAATCCCATGGACAGAGGAGCCTGGTGGGTTACAGGCCACGGAGTCGCAGAAGAATCAGACACATCTGAGCAACTAAACAACAAAAAATCCCTGAATCATTGCTGGTCAATTTTCTCCATGAAGCCAGTCTCTGTTTCACTGTTTCTTTTAATTGCTTTTTGGGTCCCATTCCACAGTATGTGGTGGAATCTTAATTGCCTGACGAGGGAGTAAACCTACAACCCCTTCATTGGAAGGCAGAGTCTTAACTACTGGACCACCAGGGAAGTCACTGTGAGTCTCTGTTTTAATAATACTTGAGCAGCGATGAAAAAAACCCAACCTATGGAGGTTCTGTGAGCCTCAGGACCTGGTTCATTAAATTCTCAACAACTAATGAGGTCTGGGATGACCACTGCTCCAATTTAACAGGAATGCTTAAGTTCAAAGAGACCAAGATACCCGGGTGTTACAACTGGCAAGCGGCAGTGGTTGGGACTGAATCCAGGTTTTTTGTTTTTAGGATCTGTAAAAAACCTCTTATGGAAATTTAAAAACATATATGGGCTTCCCTAGTGGCTGAATGGTAAAGAACCCACCTGCCAATGCAAGGGACACCAGTACAATCCCTGGGTCAGGAAGACTACCTGGAGAAGGAAATGTCAACTCACTGCAGTATCCTTGCCTGGAAAATTCCATGGACAGAGGAGCCTGGTGGACTACAGTCCATGGGGTCGCAAAGAGTGGGACACGACTGAGCAACTAAACAACAACAAAAGGGGTAGTTACTGAATCCACTTCTGACCCAAGAACCTGTGCTCTTCACCTCCTCACCGGGCTGCTCTAAAGACAAGTACCGACGCGAAGGAGGGATTCTCATGGAATCCGGAAAGGACAGTCCAGGAGTGGATTCGTTTCCTAGGGCTGCTGTGGAAAATTAGCACAAACTCAACTGCAAACAACACAAAAGCATTATCTTACAGTTCTGGAGGTTGGAAGTCGGAAGCGAGTAAGTCTAATATCAAGGTGCATGCGCGGCTGGTTCTTCCTGGCGGCTCTGCGGAAAGCTCCGTCTCTCAGCTCTTCCAGCTTCCGGCGATGCTCGCGGTCCCTTCCGCCATTTTTAAAGCCAGGTGCCTGCTATTTTCAGCCAGCCAGCCCTCCTCTCCTAAGACGCTTGTGATTACATTGGATCCACCTGGACCATCCGAGCTCCTCTCCCCATCTCCAGACATTAATTACACCTACAAAGTCCCTCTCGCCACATAAGGGAATACATGTCTAGGTTCTTGGGGGTCAGGACATCTTTAGGGGGCACTAACTCAGTCAGCCACAAGGAATAAAGGACAGACACATAGAAAAGGGGAAAGCTCCTGCTGACATGGGATCTGCTTGCTGGAGAGTGTAACACAGGGAGGAGCGTGGTTTCTGGAGCCTTAACTTTGAAGGCATTTTGTGGGGTTTTATTTTTGGCTGCACCACGCAGCAGGTGGGATCTTAGTTCCCTGACCAGGGATGGAACCTGCACCCCCTGCATTGGAAGGTGGCACCTCAGCCACTGGACCACCAGGTAAGTCCCTCTTTGAGGCTTTAATAGTGACTTGCTACCTCTTTGGGCTTCACCTGGATAAAAGGAAGAAAACCAGAACCTCCTCACTAGGTCTTCAGGAGGCATAACACAGTGACTATACATGAAACATGGATCTTTGGTAGGCACATGGTAAGCATTTAGACGTGTTCCCTATTCTTGTTAGTACTCCGTCCTCAGTCGTGATCAACTCTATGTGAGCCCATGGACTGTAACCCGCCGGCTCCTCTGTCCATGGGATTCTCCAGGCAAGAATACTGGAGTGGGTCACCATGCCTTCCTGCAGGGGATCTTCCTGACCCAGGGACTGAACCTGCACCACCTGCATCTCCTGCATTGCCAGGTGGATTCTTTACCGCTGAGCTGTCGGGGATGCCCATTCTTGTTAGCGTCTATCCTTACTTGAAGGAGCGTCCCCTCTCAACTCCTGATTTCCTCTCTCTGCCGCCAGGATCATCAGATGCCTTCTGATTTGTACCTGGGGGCCGCACAGAGATCTGGCAATTCTGGGTGTTGAGTTGGAAAGACTCATTGGACCAAATAAGGGTCAGTTCTGTCTGTGCTGTTTTGTCACAGTTTAGGGTCCCTCTAGAGGGGTTTCCTGGGCTTCTCTGGTGTTTCAGACGGTAAAGAAATCTGTGAGCAATGCAGGACACTTGGGTTCAATCCCTGATCTGGAAAGATCCCACATGCCAAAGAGCAACTAAGCCCATACGCCACGACTACCGAGCCTGGGCTGTAGAGCCCGTGCTCTGCAAACAAGAGAAGCCACTACAATGAGAAGCCCAAGCACCACAACTAGAGAGTAGCCCCCACCCAACAACTAGAGAAAGCCTGCCCAACAACAAAGACTCAGCACAGCCAAAAATAAATAAATACAATAAAGTTTTTAAAAAGAGAGAAAGCTCTTGAGAACCGAACTTGGTGCTGCAGGCTGCCACTGGCTTGCCTACCACCATTCCCTCAACTCTGCCGAAGCTGTGTGTGCCTCTTATTGCTTGCATTAAAAGCATTTGTGCCTGCAGAAACTAACACAGCCTTGTAAATCAACTATACTCCAAGCAAAATGATCACTCCATGGGGATTTTCTGGCAGTCCAGTGGTTAGGACTCTGAGCTTCCACTGGAGGGGCACAGGTTTGATCCTGGTTGGGGAACTAAGACCCCACATGCCACGTAGCAGGGCCAAAAAAACCCTATTACCTCCCCCCCCCCAAGAAAAAAGCATTCATGCCTAGAATATACAGATTGGCATCTGTTTCTCTATTGAACCCTGACAAGTCAAGTACTGACCATATGCACAGAATTTCTGTCCTCTTGTGCTGGCTCTGATGAGTGAGGTCTGAACTGTTATTAAAAGCAATAAACTCTTCACATATACATGCTTTTTTCCTCATGCACCTCTGATAAATAAAAAGGTATGAGTTTCACTTGAAGTCCTTAATATCTTTTTCATATGCATGGAGCCTCTCGTGGGTTCTGTGCATGTATGTGTGCTAAGTCACCCCAGTTGTGTCAGACTCTTTCAAGATCCCATGGACTATAGCCCCCAAGTTCCTCTGTTCATGGGATTCTCCAGGCAAGAGTACTTGAGTAGGTTGCCATGCCTTCCTCCAGGGAATCTCCCTGACTCAGGGATTGAACCCACTTCTCTTGCATCTCCTGCATTGGCAGGTGGGTTCTTCACCACTAGTGCCACTGGGGAAGCTCATGGGTTCTGAGATGGACACAAAGATCTAAATTCCAAATCAACCCTTATTCCACTCGTCACCTTCATGGCTGTTTCATTCATTACACTTACAGGATTCATCTACTGAAAGAACCCTAAGATGAGTGTGAAAACTCAGCTCTATGCAATATCCTTTCCACACACACAGCACTTGTAGGGCTTCTCCTCTCATGGACTCTAGTGAACATAAAGGTATTTGATCTCTCTGGAGCTCTTCCCACCCCTACTCACAGTAAATCCTCCATCCTGGGTATAAACTAAGTAGACTTGAGGAATATCACTTAAACTGAATATGGGGGAATATTTCCCTGGTGTTCCAGTGGCTAAGACTCCACACTTCCAATGCAAGGGCCCTGGGTTCAACTTCAGGGAAGTAGATCCCACATGCCATTAACTAAGACCTGGCGTGTGTGTGTGTGCGCTAAGTTGCTTCAGTCATGTCTGACTCTTTGTGACCCAATGGAATATAGCCTGGCAGGCTCCTCTGTCCATGGAATTTCTCAGGCAAGAATACTGGGGTGGGTTGCCATTCCCTCCTCCAGGGCATCTCCTGACCCAGGGATTGAACCCACATCTCATGTGGCTCCTGCACTGCAGATGGATTCTTTACCACTGAGCCACCTGGGAAGCCCTTAGACCTGTGTACTACACCTAAAGAGGTGACTTCCTTCCACAAAATATCAAATAGGGTCCAAAGCATTATACCTCAAGTATCCAGTATACAAAAAAAAAAATTACTCATCATACCAAGAACCAAAACAATCAGAACTTGAATGAGAAAAAACAATTAACAGACATCAATACCAATTCAGATGTTGGGCTTATCTGAAAAAGATTTTGAATTAAGTACATAATCCCCCTTATTCTCTCAGCTAGTTTGAGTTGAGTTTCCTGTTTCTTGCAATTGAGAACATCCTAATGGTTATAAACCACCAGGAGTTCTGAGCAGCCCACCCCAGGGTCTGGTGTTGGCCCTGGATTTCTTTGGTAACATGAAACTTGCAATAGCATAGAATTTAAGTATCCAGTGTCCTGGAAGGTAAGGCCCAGAAGAAACTGTGAGAACAATAAGGTTCTACTGTATAGCCCAGGGAACTCTACTCACTATTTTGTAATAACCTATAGGGGAAAAGAATCTGAAAAAGAATATTCCAATATACACATGAATCAATTTGCTGAACACTTGAGAGTAATACAACATTGTAAATTAACTATACTTCAATAAAACAATGGTGGAAAGCCTCCAGTAAATGTACACCTGAGTAAACCATTCAACCAAGCAAACTTGAAAGCATCTGAGAAGCACAGAGCAGTGTTCAAGCTATGTTTGGCACTGGTGCCAGGTCATGACTGTATAGCAGCTAACAGATTTCCTGCCCCTATGAAATCTACATTCTAGTGGACATGGATTTTGTTGTGTCCATCATTATACTTTTGCTAAAGTCCTAAGAGCACTTCTAATTGTAAAGCCTCCCCTGTGTAGATTCTATTGAATGTGAAAGTTCTGATTGAAACCCACTGCACCATCCTTACAGGGTTTCTCTGCTGTATATTTTCTTGAAAACTGTGACATTTTGGTCTCTGTTGGACACACTAGCCATACTCATACAAGTAGGTCTCCTCACTGGAATTCAGATGACTGTAAAAAATACAGCTTCCTCGAAAATTCTTAAAACATTTTATAAATAGCCCCTGCTGTGCAGGTTTTCTGATGAAAATGTCATGTCTCAGCTCTGAAGAAATTTTTATCACTTGTCATGTGTACTGGACTGATCACTACTTATGGACTCTCTGATGAACCTGAAGACAAGAACTCTTGCTAAAGCCCTTACCACAGTCAAAATATTTGTAGGGATTCTCTCCTGTAATGGACCCTCCAATGAAGATGGGAGGTCTGACTGAAGCTCTTCCCACACATGCTACACTTATAGGGTTTCTCTCCTGTGTGGGTACTCAGATGAATGTGAAGGTATCAGTTCCAGATGAAGCCTTTCCCACATTCTTCACATTGTAGGGTTTCTTCCCTATATGGACTCTCTGATGGGCTTGAAGATGTGAGCTCCAACTGAAACCATTCCCACACACATTGCACATGTAGGGTTTCTCTCAGGTGTGGACCTACTGGTGGTCTTGAATATGTGAGCTCAGACTGAAGCCTTTCCCACACATATCACATCTGTAGGGTTTCTCCCTTATGTGGACTCTCTGATGGGCCTGAAAATGGGAAATCTGACTGAAGTCCTTGCCACATATATCACATTTTAGGGTTTCTCTCCTGTGTGAACTCTCTGATGGGCCTGAAGATGGAAATTCCAGCTGAAGTTCTTATCACACACATCACATTTGTAGGGCTTCTCCCCGGTATGGATTCTGATGGTCTTGAAGGTATGAGGCCTTACTGAAGTCTTTCCCACATACCTCACATTTATATGGTTTCTCTCCAGTGTGAACTTTCTGAAGAGGACCAGAGCGCTGGCTGAACATCCTGTCACATGTGTTCCATTTGGATGTTTTGTTTTTAGGGTAGGCTGTTTGATGGGCTTGAAGTTGTGATATCTTATTGAAGCCTTTACCACAGCTCACATTTCCAAGATTTCTCTTCAGTGTTGTCCACACAGCAACTGTTGAGGTCTAAGACATGACTGAAGCCCTTTCTATACTGGCCACACCTATACAGATCCACCCTGGGGTGAATGGGCTCATCAGCACGAAGGGAGGAGTTCTGATTGAAGCAGTCAGCACACACCTAGACATCTGTAAGGTTTCTCCCCTGGGTTGGCTCTCTGGTGGGTTTGCATATGTGAGCTCTGACCCAAGCCCTTCCCATACTTACTACACATACCGGGTTCCTCTCCTACTTGCAGCTGCTGCTGAAGTTCAAGATCAGAGCCAAGGCTGATGCCTTTTCCATTCTCATCAGAGGTCTGACCTTCCGAGTGGATGATGCTATGCTGGAATGTGTTCTTCACAAAGTCTTTTCCACAATTATTGTGGCCAAATGCCATCTTGCTTTTGTGTACTTTCTGATCACCATGGTGAAGAGATCATTCTCATGATGCAATGATCACAAGGCCACAGTTTATTTTTTATGTCAATTTGCTGATACCTACTCTGATAATTCTGACTCTCTCAGATCCATTTTCCTCCAGAAATCTCAGGAGGTCTGAATTTGAAGCTCTTGATTGCCAACACAATTAGAACTATCCCCTTGAAGCTTTCCCACACAGTTCTCATCTTCAGCAACCTCAGCAGATTCTCCTGCCCACACCCGACAGGAGGAATCAACTTGTTTTAGCAATTTGGACTTCTTGCCTTGCAGACTTATTGAGTCCTGGTTAATTTATTTGTGAATTGTTCCCATATCTGCCCACACATAAGGCCTTCATGCAAAATGTGTCTTAGTCCTACTTCTTGAAGAGTCTCTATTTCATTTTGATTCCTGTGTCCTAGAAGGATAAAAAGTTCAGAGATGAAAGTGAGGACAAGTTCAGGGATATAAGATATTTCACAGGTCGACTGTATTGGGAGATTCTATTCAACCAGTGGATCATTCAGCTGGATTCTTAATTTTATCATGCCTATGGAAACAAAGAGGTAATAATGAGACTCCTTTAGAAGTAGTATACTCATGGGACTTCCCTAGTGGTCCAGTGGTTAAAACTCTGCATTCCCAATGCAGTGGGTATCAGTTCAATCCCTTGGTTGGGGAACTAAGATACCACACGCTGCACAGCATGGCCTAAAAATAAATAAATGAATGAATAAAATTAAATTTTAAAAAAGGAACTAATATGCCGAGACTTATGCATGAGGTCAAAATGAGAAATACAGTGCTACAGAGCATGGGACATTCTCAGCAAAAGTGAAAAGAATATATTTGCACTGGGAGACATCTCCTCTGTCCTGATAATGAACCCATGAGATGATAACTTTATTGTCCTTAATTTAGCCACTAAATGCACATGTTAATACATAAGCTGGGCTTCTCAGGTGGCACAGTGGTAATGAATCCTCCTGCCAGTGCAGGAGATGCAAGAGATGTGAGTTTGATCCCTGGGTCGGGAAAATCCCCTGGAGTAGGAAATGGCAACCCACTCCAGTATTCTTGCCTGGGAAATCCCATGGGCAGAGGAGCTCAGAGGGCTGCATCCATGGGGTCACAAAGAGTTGGAGATGACTGAGCACAAGCACAATACATAAGCGAGATTTGAGAGAGTTCTTCTTTACTTCAATGATGTCTGAATATATAATATTCAACTAATGAACATTGTAACTAGGAAAAAAACTAGAAAATTTATTCCCTTAGCTGACACATCCTATGGCAGTAAAAAATCCTATGATAATTATTGCTGCTAAATTTGGTTGGATTTTCTGATAAGCCTGAATGACTAATATTATCTTCCAGGTTTTGTAGATATGAATCAGCAAATAACCAATAGATGCTGTAGTAGCCAGCACATAAGACAGCCCCCAATGATCCCTGCTTCCTGATATGAAAACCCTATTGAAGTCCCCTCCACAACATATCAGGATTGGTGAGCGAAACCAAATAGGATATGGCAGAAGTGCTGGTACATCACTTCCAAGATTATCCCATAAAAGACACTGTAGTTTCTGCCTTCTAATCCCTTGGGTGCAAGTACCTTGGGAAAACTAGCTGCCGTGTTTTGAGAACAGTCAGGGAGAGGGCTGTTTGCCAATGAACTAAGGCCTCCTCTCCTGTCAAGCCAGGGTAGAACTGAGGCCTCCTGCCAACAACTCTGTGAATGACCCCATCTTGGAAGCGTCCTTCAGGCCCATCAAGCCTTCAGAGGACCACAGCTCTGGCAGACTTGAGATCTTATGAGATCATGAGCCAGAACCATCCTGTGAGGCTGCCCCCAGAATCCTGATGCACAGAAACTGTGATGTCTATAGTTTTAAGCTGAGAAATTTAAGAATAAGTTGTCATAAAGCAACAGATGACTAATTAGGTATATAGAAACTAAACTTAAATTAGACATTCATCAGAAGATGAACTGTGTTCTGAAATAATCCTTTCATCACACCAGTGGTTTATTCTCTACTCGTGAGCTGTCTGCAGGAGGAGGGGACAGTGAGATCCACTTGGCACCACTCTCTGTGAGCTGCAAGGGCTCAGACCTCCATGGTTCTCACCTGAACACTCATCTCCTCGGGTTTCTGGCTCCATCACCCAAAGCTGCTCTTCTCGCCCCAACTGGAGTATTATATCTAATGTGAAGGGTTGATAACCTGTGAAAAAGTAACCATACATGTGTAAGGTGAATAAAAGCAAAATTTTTAACTCCAATACTACGATCTTCATGCACTCTCAGCAGTATTTTTCCAAATTCTGATCATGACCTGTTGTAATAAATACCTCTTCTGTTGTGATCGGGCACGCAAATAAACAGATGCATATCACTGAAACAAGTGACTGAATCCTAACCATTATCTACTTTAAAAAAAAAAAAGGATTCTACTTTTACAGCTTTGTAGATCTCAACATTTATGTGTTTTTATTTTCATATTGTACAGAAATTTTACTTTACATGATTAAATAGATTAGCTTATTTCAACTGCCAGTTAACTTTGTTCTTTTTTTTTTTGGCCAAGGCCCGCAACAAGGGGGAACCTAAGTCCCCGAACAAGGCCTGAAACCGGGCCCCCCGCAACGGAAAGAAGGAAGCCCCTAACCAACGGAACAACAAGGAAAGCCCCGAATAAACAACTTTAACAAGGCCCCCTTCCCGGTTTTTTACTCACAGTTTCTGTTGCACTATATGCAGTTTCTGACAAGCTATGCTACTTCTGTCCTATTTCATTAAATGCAATAATGATACAACTCACTGACTTTAAACCACACCAAGATGTTACAACTGCAATTTGAGAAAACAGACAAGGAATAAATAAGGTGTCCCATGAAGAGGAGGAAATTCAGGCCCCCACATGCAAGGAAGCATTTCAAGAGCCCCAAACTCTGAAACATGTTGACACCAAGGCACTCCTGAGGGTTGACACTGAGTCCCTGAGACCTCACCCATGGACACCAAGTTCCAGAAGTTCTCCAGCATCACTTCATGGTACAGCTTCCTCTGGGCCAAGTCTAGCAGTCCCAGTGCCTCCTTGGTGAAGGTCACAGCCACGTCCTTGAAGGACTGCCTCCTACAACACCAAACACATGTAGCTTCAATCTTATGATCAGTAGAGGGAAGGGGGTAGGAAGTCACTGTTTAATGAGTATGGAATTTCACTTTGAGAAGAACAACAAAGTTCTGGAGATGTGTTCAACAGTGTGAATGTACTTAAAAGTACTGAACCGCACATTTAAAAATTGTTAAAATGGTAAACTTTATGCTATGTATATTTTATCACAATAAAAAATGCACATCAGGAGGTAGATGAATAACCCAATTATGGTATATACAGGCAATGAAATACAGTGAAGCAATAAAAAGGAGCTGACCTGTGTTCAAAATGAACAAATGATGCCAGACACAGAAAGAGCACATACTGTGTAATTCTGTTAACATGAAACTCAAGAAATGATGAATCTAGTCTGTAGTGACATAAAGTAAATCAGTTGCTGCCTATAGTCAGGCATGTGGGATAGGGATTAACTGGGGATGAGGGAAAATTTTTGGTGATGAAAATGGTCTACATGTAGACTGAGGCATGTAGACTGAGGCATGTAGACTGAGGCAGATAAACATGGGTATGTTTATCAGAATTGATTAAATACATTTATTATATGTAAATTATATGTAAATTTCACCACAAAATTATATAAAAAGACACAATTAACAAAGCAAATAAACAAACCACAGAATGGAAAAAATTACTCCCAAAATGTATACATAAAAAAGGACTTGAACTCAGAAAATATAAAGAACTCCTTAATAATAAAAAGTAGAAGCCAAATTTTTAAATGGGCAAACAACTTCAGCAAGCTTTCCATAAGAGATAACTGCAGTCACCATCTGCAGTGATTTTGGAGCCCAAGAAAATAAAGTCTGTCACTGTTTCCATTGTTTCCCCATCTATTTGCCATAAAGTGATGGGACTGGATGCCATGATCTTAGTTTTCTGAATGTTTAGTTTTAGGCCAACTTTTTCACTCTCCTCTTTCACTTTCATCAAGAGGCTCTTTAGTTCTTCTTCACTTTCATCCGACTCTTTGTGACTCCATGGACTATACTGTCCATGGAATTCTCCAAGCCAGAATACTGGAGTGGGTAACCCTTCCCTTCTCCAGGGGATCTTCCCAACCCAGGGCAAACCCAGGTCTCTCACATTGCAGGCAGATTCTTTTCCAGCTGAGCCACAAGGGAAGCCTGTCATTTCATTAGAATGGCTTAAAGAAACAAGATCCATAATACCAAATGACAGAAAAGAAGGGCACGCTGAAAATTTCATGCACCCCTGACGTGTTGTCAAATGGTACAAGTATTTTGAAAAAGAGTTTATATTCACTTACCCTACAAATCCCATCATTCCATTTCTAAATGTTTACCCAAGAGATATGAAAACACATCCCTAAGAAGGTCTGTGAGGCATGATCACGAGAGTAAAACAATGAAAAGCTACAAATAGGGACTTCCCTGGCAGTCCAGTAGTTAAAACTCCATGTTCCCTTGGCAGGAGGCTTGGGTTCAATCCCTGGTCAGGGAATTAAGATCCCATATGCCACAAACTATGGCCAAAAAAGAAATTAATTAATGAAGTAAATAATATACAAATAAATTATGAAAATTTAAAAATAAATATATTAAAGCTACAATCAACTCAAATATCTCTTAAAATGACAAACTGTGATCTATTCATAAAATGGAATATGATAAAAAGGAACGGATTAGTGACACCTGCAACAACACAGTTGAATCTCAAAAACATTATGCAGGGACGAAAAAGTACAAGAGTACATACAGTATGATTTTGTTAATTATGTTTAATTTGAAAACAAACAAATCTAATCATATGATGACAGATCAGAACAGGAGATGCTTCGCAGGTCAAAGAAACTGACTTGAAAAAGACATGAGAGAACTTTGGGGGTAATGTAAAAGTTTTTATTTCTGTTTTGGATAGTGGCCTAATACAATTACACAACTTTGAAAACAGGATATACGATTGTCATTGACCCAACACTTCAAGATTTGTGTAGTTTTTGTAAGTAAATTATGTTCTATTTTTAAAAGCCCTATGCAAAAGTGTTATGAATCAAAACCAAATTTATTCAGAGGTACAACAGTCTATAGGCTTAACTGTGACTTCTGAATGGTTAAACAAAACACAGAAACCCTTCTGAGGTAATACATAAAAGAATGCTGAATCATCAGTTCAGTTCAGTTCAGTCACTCATCGTCCGACTCTTTGCGACCCCATGAACTACAGCACATCAGACNTTTCCCCATCTATTTGCCATGAAAAACTCAATTGATAATATTAAGTGAAAATATAAAATTGAAAACTGTACCTAGACTATGATTCTAGGTAAACAAAGTGTAGCTGACTTACAAGCAGTATAGTAATTTGAGTTTTTCAAATTTTTTGATATCTGAGTTTCCTGTACTATTATTTGTGAAATGAAGATGACAAAATAAAAAAAAAAAAAACTAAAAGCAAAAGCAAAAAATATAACCATAAAAAAGCAAGTACCTGGCATACAAGGAATGTTTTCTTCCTTTATCCTTCTCATGAAAGAGAAAAAAGATAACAGAAGAGAAGAAAAAAAAGAGAGAAAAAAACAAAACATGATAATAGAGAAAAGACTTGTGATCGTCAAAGGGGAGCCGGGTGGAAGAGGGATGCACTGAGAGTTTGGAACTAGCAGATGCAAACTACTATACATAGGATGGATAAACAACATGGTCCTACTGTATAGCACAGAGAACTATATTCAATACCCTGTGATAAACCATAATGGAAAAGAATTTGAACAATAATGTGTTTATACGCATAATGCAATCACTCTGCTGTACAGTGAAAATTAACACTGTAAATCAATTATACTTCAATTTTTTTTTAATGTGCCTAACCTTTAAGAAAAGAGAATCTTTGAGGAAAGAGATGCAATTTTAAGAGAGAAAACTCAACTCACCTGGAACTTGGTCATGCTCTGCCACCCCTTCTGGGGAAAGTCAAGAGTCCTGGGAAGACACAGTAGCAAAGGAGAAAGAAGCCTTGAGACATAGGTCCAAGCCCAAGTGACTGCTTCGTGTGATTCACCAGCCCCTCGGGCCCTTGGGCAGTGAACAGTCTGCTCAAGTCTAAGCAGCAGAGCTCATACAAGAGTCCCTTGGGGCTCCCGGGGTTCAGAGCCATCATTCTCATCCCGGGTATTGGGGGAAATGAAAGGTAGTGGGATGTACTGGCTATGAGAGTGGACTCTGGGGCCAAGAGGTCCCAGGTCAACCATGGTACTACTCCTGTGACATAAGATACTGGTTTTTCTGCCCTCAGTTCCTGACACAGGGCTCCTGAAACCCTCATAATTTCCTGAATGCTAGAAGTGTGTTTTGTTTTGCCTTCATTCCAATAAAAGGGTCTTTTAATAATATCCAAATTTAATAACATCCAATTTCCAACGCTCTGTCTTAAGAAATTCACCCTTATTTCTGACAAGTCCATAGTTCTGATTGGCTGTGTCACTTAATAGTTTCTGGTCTTATAATGATATTTCATTGATATCAGCATCTGGTTCTATAAAAGGTATAAATACAGTACTTGAGAATTTTCTTCAAGTAGCCAGAAGAGTCTCAATGGCACATCCCCCTCTGTCATGATGACTGAAGTAAAAAAAATATATTTTAAAATACAACTGCTAGGTTTTGGGTTTTTTTTTTTTTCTTTCATTTTAAACAAAAGTGCAGTGGTCTGTCTCACTTAAATGAACAATACTGTAGTGGCCACAACAGATCTGAATTTATAAGGGTGCTTTGGGGCTTTGGTGAGCAAGTCCAATAGCCCTGAATAGGCAAGTCCATACAGACAGAAAGTCAACTAGTGGTTGCCAGGGGCTGGGAGGGGGCAAGTGAGAGGTGATGGCTCAGGGGCATGAGGTTTCTTCTGGGGGTAATGAAAATGTTCTGGAACTAGATGGTGGTGATGGTTGTACAATTCTGTGAATATACTAAAAATCAGTGAGTTGTACATTTTGTAAGAAAAAGTATATGTTAATCTTATACGTGAATTACATCTCAAGTTAAAAAATAGGAGAAAAAAGGACTTCCCTGGTGGTCCAGTGGTTACGACTCTGTGCTTTCACTGCAGGGGGCATAGGTTCAAACCCTGGTCAGGAAACTATAACCCCACAGGTCATAAGGAGCAGCCTAAAAAATATTTTTTTAATAAAAAAATGTTTTAAAATAGGGGAAAAAACAGCCTTGGCTCAGTGCCTGGCACATAACACAAGCTCTCAATAAGTGATGATATCATGATTACTTTCCCCATATAGTGGAAGAGAAAGCTGAGGATTCATACAATTACTTTACTAATAATCACAGAGCTCATGAGACCTGACTGACATGAATCCAACTCTGATTCCAGGGCTGGTCTTCAGGTCTCTAATCACACAAAGGGGTATCCTTGGGGAGAAATGAAAGGGGAGTTGGAGGATAAGACTCTGCACATGGAATCAAAGGGTCTGCACATGGAATCAAAGGATGGCCAAAGACACACTTTCTCCAGGCAAGGATTGGGCTGAACCATCTCAGAGGTTCCTCTGAGCTGTAAAATCCTGAGGCTGTTCCTGATTGGGAGGAGAAAGGATAAATTGCATCTTCCAGTTTTTTCCTCTGGGTTTGGGGAACCTCAGTCATCAACCATCCAGGGTCTATGTGACAGTGGTTAACACGCATATAGACCCCAGATGGGTTGAACAAGATTGATGAATGAGATTCCCAACAAAGGTCTGTTTAGTCAAAGCTATGGTTTTTTCAGTAGTCATGTATGGATATGAGAGTTGGATCATAAAGAAGGCTGAGCGCCAAAGAACTGACGCTGTTGAACGGTGGTGTTGGAGAAGACTCTTTTGAGAGTCCCTTGGACTGCAAGGAGATCAAACCAGTCAATCCTAAAGGAAATCAATCCTGAATATTCATTGGAAGGATTGATGCTGAAGCTCCAACCCTTTGGCCACTTGATGCGAAGACCTGACTCATTAGAAATGACCCTGATGCTGGGAAAGATTGAAGGCAGGAGGAGAAAGGGACAACAGAGGATGTGATGGTTGGATGTCACTACCGACTCAATGGACATGAGTTTGAGCAAACACCAGGAGATGGTGAAGGATGGAGAAGCCTAGCACGCTGCAGTCCATGGGGTCGCAAAGATTTGGACATGACTGAGCAACTTTCACTTCACTTCACATTGCATATAAAGCCTGTAGAAGAGTATCTGGCATTCACTATGTTAACAGATTATTATTACTCATTCTTCAACAGGTCTCATCCAACCTCCCATTTATTCCATAAACATTGGAACATCTGTCCCGTAGAAAAATCCTGCTCAAGAGTGAAGGAAACTTATTGCCAGCTTGGCAGAAATGACACGGCAAGATAAAATTCCCTCACGTTGGGACAATGTACCAGGATTCCTGGGTCACTCACTCTCTCCTCTCTGTGAGTCCTCTTTGAGAAATCAGGGTCAGGAATGGAAAGATAGGAAGATATGGAAGAATGAAGACACAGTTGTGTGTCTCAGGCCCAGGATAACTTACAGCGGACATCCCCAGGTACCGGCTAGGGGTGAGACTCCCTTCTTCCTTTAAAAAAGGTCGGGGCTGTGGATGTCAAAGGAATCCACGGAAAACCCCTCTTTCTGCAGAGGTTAGAGAAGAGCCAGTGGCTCTGCAGTTGGAGCTCAGAACACCCGGGGCTCACACAGGCTTTCAAGGACTGAAAGCATCGCGGGAAGAAGAAACTGGACAATCGACCGCTTTTAGCCGCTGCCAGCGATCGGTTCTAAGCAGTTTCACACTTGCTTCACGTGAATCTCATCACATGCCTACTAAGGAGGTACCACTATTAACTCCTCTTTACAGAAGTGAACAGGAGCAATCTGATAATTCTACGAAGAGTATATCCCTAAGAGATGGCAGAGTGTGCATAAGGTAGGGGAGGCGAGGAAAACCGAGGGGCCGAGAGACTCTCAAACTCGGAGAGCGCTACCCCGCCTCACCCCCAACCAGGGAACGAGAACCTCGCCAAACGCCAGACACAAAAACCGTCATCCCTGCCCTCCATTGCTTGTTTCCCGAGGGTGAGGGCGAGGGTGACAGCTGCATACTCCACATCCAGACAGGATCAGAAGACACCCAAACTCTAAGTACTGACTCACCTCTCAGGAGACACTGAAGCCTCTCACGCCTATAGCGGAAGTGCCCGGACTGCACGCTGCTCTCGGACTACAATTCCCAGAACCCCCCACCAGAACAAGGGCTACGGCCCCTCATCCTCGGGGACGGAAGTGGCGCTGATACCTGGCGCACTGGACTACACTTCCCAGAATCCTCGGCAAAAGTAGTGAAACTTTGAAAAATAAAGCTCGTTCAGTTCACCGAGGTGCTGTTTTAGCTTAATCTTCCGTTTCCTTCCTGTCTTCTGGAGGGTTTTGGGTGTTGTTGTTTTCATTACATTACTAATAAGTGTGACTGAAAAGTAAGTGTGGCAGCCTGAGAAAGGAAGGGCGGAGAGAATCCCAAACTTGGTTTATTGCTTTTGTACCTGGATGCATTTAGACCACTGACAATGTTTACTTGGCATGACCTAGTCATTCCAATATGTTAAAGACTCATCAGAAGGAAAAGTAACCTTTGATCAAGCCACAAAACAAATAACAAAAGTTTCCCACTTTTGTTGGTTTTAATTGCTCCTTTTGAAAGCTGGAGTTTCTAGCAAATAAAGGAAAATGCGATAGCAAGAAGGGAAGGAAATAGAAAAGAAAGAAAAGAAAAAGAACGGCCTAGAATACAGGCATACCTCAGTGATATTTTAGGTCAGATTCCAGACCACTGCAATAGAGCAAATTATGAAATAACGTGAGCCCCATGAATGTTCTAGTTTCCCAGTGTATATATTATGATTACACTATAGTAGTCAAGGTATACGATTAATATTAAAAAATGTATGTACCTTAATTTTAAAATCCTGTTGGAAAAATGGTACCAGAAGACTTGCTTGACACAGGTTTACCACAAACCTTCAACTTGTAAAATCATTGTAAGAAATAAAACCATCATAAATACTACAGAATGTTTTTTCTCCAGGTTGGTCTAAATCATTGAGCCATGATGATTATTCAAAAAGTTGGTGTTAAAGTGGGGTATCCTGCTCAGATAACCGTAACAAATTCAACTCCTTTTTTTCAACTTCATGAGGTATAACTGCTAAGGAAAATTTTAGTATATATGATGAATTGATATATATTGTGAAAGGATTCCCACAAATGAATTACTTAACACACCATCAAAGGCTAACTCTTTTGGGGGGCAGAAAGGGAGACCCTTTAATATCTATTCTTAGCAAATTTCAACTATACAATACTGCATTATCAACTATAGTCACCAAGCTATAGATTAGATCCTTAGATCTTACTCATCTTAAAGCTGAAAGTTTGTATCCTTTTTATAACCTCTCCCCATTCCCAGACAGCCATCACCATTATACTCACTGTCTCTAGTAAGTTTGACACTTTTTCCCCTTTAGATTCCACATGTAAGATAAAATGATACCATGCAGTGTCTTTCTGTCTTGTTTCATTTAGTTTATGTCCTACAGTTTCATTCATGTTGTCACAAATATTTCTCCATATTTTTCCTGTGAACCAAAGGTTAGAACGGTTTGATTCCAGTTTTTTGTTTTTGTTTTTTTTAAGAAACAATAGTTCATGGGGGTTCTGTTTGTATCTCCTACTATCCTAACTGGAAGCTTCCAAGACACCCTTAAAAAGAACAAGATGAGAAAATGTCTTCTACCAAATACCAAGACTCATTGCAAAGCTATGCTGAAGTAGTGTGGTATTAGTAAAATTATTGAAAAGTAGACCAATCAAAGGGAATTGAGAGTCAAGACATCTATCTAATCATATTTAAATCACTGATTTTCTTCAAAAGTGGCACTACAAAGTAGTGGGAAATAAGGGAAATTTTCAGTAACTGGTATAGCAAAAACTGAATATTCAAATGGTGAATAATTAGATTATACGGGAGGCAATATAGACCTTTCTTTAAAGATTCCGTAAGTTGATTTTAGTTGTCACCTATCAAAAAATAAATAAAAAGGAGAGGGAGGGAGAAAAGGGAAAGAGAGAACTGATAAATTTGAATAAGGTCTGGACATTAGCCAATGTTATATATCAATATTCAATTTTCCTGAGTGCTATACTTGTAGATATGGAAGTAAATTTCCTTGTTCTTACAATATATCAATATGTCTAAATACTTAAGTATTTAGATGCAAAGGGTAAAAGGACTGGAACATACTCATGGTTAAGAAAAAGTACACGTCAATGTAATATCACTCAACCATAAAAAGGAATGCATTTGTCAGTTCTAATGAGGTGGAAGAACCTAGAGCCTATTAAATACAGTGAAGTAAGTCAGAAAGAGAAAGAGAAATATCATATATTAACACATGTATATGGAATCTAGAAAGATGGCACTGATGAGCCAATCTGAAAGGCAGCAGTGGAGATGCAGACACAGAGAACAGACTTGTGGACACAGTGTGGTAAGAAGGTGGGAAAAACTGAGAGAGTAGCACTGAAACACATGCATGACCAGGTGTAAAATTAGACAGCCAGTGGAAATTTGCTATATGACACAGGAGCTCAAATCCAATGTTCCGCTGACAACCTAGAGGGGTGGGATGGGGTTGGAGGTGGGAGGGAGGTACAAGAGGGAGGGGACATGTGGATACCCATAGCTGATTCATGCTGATATATGGCAGAAACCAACACAATATTGTAAAGCAGTTATCTTCCAATTAAAAATGGTTTTAAAAAGTATGTGTCAATATGTGTGCACATACACACATTCACATACGTTAAGAGAATATGTTTCAAATATGTTAACTGGTGAATCTGAGTAAAGGGGTACATGAAAGATTTCAGAGTTTTTACAATTTCTGGCATGTGTTATATTATTTCAAAACAAGAAGTTTAAAGAAACGTAAAAAATTTACATGAATCAAAATTCCATCATTCAGAGATCAGTAAAAATAAATACCTACCTTTCCTTTTTAATGAGATCACACAAAAATCCCATGCTTTGTTTCTCCAGGTGAATGTTTTCTGGATATCCTCCAACATCCGTTAACAACAATTTGCACTAGATAAATAAATCATAAAATACTTTGGCAACCCAACTGATTATTTCTATGTTTGCTATAATAAACAATGATGCAATGAACATTCCTTCATATACATCCATGACAGATACATGTTTTAATTCATATTATCATATAAAATAAAGTCATCATATTATGAATTTTTGGCTATATGAAACTTTTAGTATTTTATTCATTTTCATAGTTTTACAGTATTAGTAAAAATAATGGCCATTATAAATAAGTATAAAATGGAAGTTGATGAAAAAATAACCCCAAGTCGTCCTTGACTCCCACCCTCCCACCAAAAAACTAGCTAGTATATGGCAAATATCCTTTTCACACATTATCTTTAGGCATATATTCACTTTGTAGTGGTGGATGGTTTAGTCGCTAAGTCATGTCTGACTCTTGTGATCCACAGACTGTAGCCTGCCAGGCTCCTCTGTCCATGGGGTTTTTCAGGCAAGATTACTGGAGTGGGTTGCCATTTCCTTCTCCAATATTCACTCTGAGAGATCATTTAAATCAAGTCAGTCTTACCAAGAAGGTTACAACCTACTTTTTCCCTGTTAACATCTATGGTTCTATGTTACCAACCATTTAAATGGATTTGCTAGAAAGAGCCACCTGAAGGAATCCCTTTCCATCTCAATATTTTATAGCAGTGGACCCCAACCTTACTGGCACTAGGGATTGGTTCTGTGGAAGACAATTTTTCAAAGGACCAGAGGTAGGGGGAATGGTTTTGGGATGATTCAAACACATCCTTAGCTCCACCTCAGATCATCAGGCATTAGATCTTAGAGGTTGGGGACCCCTGCTTTATAGTTTATCATCAGCATGGACTCTCCAAAACCCTGAATGTGTGTATCCTGACTGAAGCCATCAACATGTTTCTCATTTTTAAAGATTCTTGCCAGTGTGGATTTTCTGATGGTATGTCAGCCGTGAACGGTGACTGAAGTCCTTACCGCATACGTTGCACTTGTAGGGTTTTTCTCCTGTGTGGACCCTCTGGTGGGCTTGAAGCCGAGAACTCTGACTGAAGCCCTTCCCACACTCCTCGCATTTAAACAGTTTCTCCCGGGTGTGGACACTCAGGTGGACTCGAAGGTTGGAGGGGAGGCTGAAGGCCTTCCCACACTCCTCACACTTGTGGGGTTTCTCTCCTGTGTGGACCCTCTGGTGGTGGCGAAGGTTCAGGCTCCGCCCGAAGCCTTTCCCACACTCCTCACACTTGTAAGGCTTTTCGCCGGTGTGGCCCCTCTGGTGATAAATAAACTGGGAACTGTATCGGAAGCCCTTCCCACACACGTCGCATTTGTAGGGCTTCTCCCCGGTGTGGACCCTCTGATGGGACTGAAGACCCGAGGACTGGCTGAAGCCCTTCCCGCAGACACCACACTTGTAGGGTTTCTCGCCCGTGTGGACCCGCTGATGGACCCGGAAGTCTATGGCCTGACTGAAGCTCTTGTCACACGCCTCACATTTGTAGGGCTTCTCTCCAGAGTGGACTCGCTGATGGGCATGAAGGTTGGACCTCCAGCTGAAGCCCTTGCCGCACGCCTCGCAGGTGTATGGTTTCTCTCCGGTGTGAATGACCTGGTGCAGCTTCAGGTTGGAACTGTAACTGAAGTCCTTGCCGCACACGTCGCACCTGTAGGGCTTCTCCCCAGTATGGACTCGCTGGTGGGTCTGGAGCTTGGACGACTGGCTGAAGCCCTTCCCGCACGTCTCACACTTGAACCGCTTCTCCCCGGTGTGGACGTTCTGGTGGACCTGGAGATTTGAAGCCTGACTGAAGCCCTTCCCACACTCCTTGCAGGTGTAGGGCTTCTCCCCTGTATGGACGCGGAAGTGGATGTGGAGGTCCGTGTTGCGGGTGAAGCCTTTACCGCAGGCCTCGCACCGGTAGGGCTTCTCGCCGGTGTGGACCCGCCGGTGGCAAATCAGAGGCGAGTTGTGACTGAACCCCTTGCCGCAGACGTCGCACTTGTAGGGCTTCTCCCCGGTGTGGACCCTCTGGTGTATGTGGTAATGGGCGGCCTGCGTGAAGCCCTTCCCGCACTCCTCACACTTGTAGGGTTTCTCGCCCCTGTGGACCCGCTGGTGAACACGGAGGTTGACGCTCCAGCCGAAGCCCTTCCCGCACTCTTCACACTTGTAGGGCTTCTCTTCCGTGTGGACCCTCTGATGGCACTGAAAATTGGAACTCTGGCTGAAGCATTTACCGCACTCCTCGCATCTGTAAGGTTTCTCCCCTGTGTGCGTCCGGTAATGGATGATGAGGCCTGTGCTGCTGCCAAAGGCCTTGCCACAACTGTCACACCTGTAGGACTTCTCTCCTGCAGGGTTAGAGTGATGGCGGTGAAAGGAGTTCCGATAAAAACCACTGCTGGATTCAGGACATTTATTGACAGTCCCTCCTGGGTGAATTCTCTGATGAGTCTGCAGATGGGAGCATTTTTCTCCAGGGTCAACCTTCTGATGAACTGGGAGCACCGCGCCATGACTGAAGCCCTCCCCACACACTCTACAGGGACGCAGTCTCTCTCCTTTGCAGGGTGTCTGTTCTGCATCAGTTTTACCAGGATCGCTCAGTGGTGAATTCTTTGTGAAGCCTTCACATACATACAGGTGATTTTTCACGTTCATCTGTTTACTTCTGCTCGGATTCTCTGACTCGGTCAGACACCTACTCCCACAGGAAGCCTGGGCTCTCGGAATCAACAACTCCTGATTCTCAAGGCAACCGAAGTGATCTCCTTTATGATTCATTATATGGTTCTCATCTTCAGAAACCTGAAGAGAATCACCTTGCAGGAACCAGGAATTCTTCCTTTGCAGAGTTAAATCATTTGTGGCCTGTTTCCAGATTTGCCAGCAGGACAGCTCTTCACACGAGAGGTATTTTAACATGACTTTCCCAAGAGTCTCCATCTCATTTGGGTTCTTGTTGCCTAAAGAAAAGGCGATATTCAGAGATGAGGACAAGTAATGCTTTGTTCAGAAATATTGGGATTTCACACTGGGGCCATGTTTACCACATTGTTTATCCTTTTGTTATTCTTTCTGAAGAATGGGGTCAGCAGATTCTTATGGAAACATGACCCATTTAGAACTGTATGTCTGTTTAATAGGAGGGTGGTAGCTTTGAAACCAGATGGCTGCAGGACAACTAAGACAACCCACACTCCAGACAAAAGCAATCAATTAAAAGTCCCCTCGTCTTTTCCTTAGCAGCCTTATGACAAGTGGGCTTCTACCCAGTTAGGTTACAAAAGCTCAGAATCCAGGCACAGAACAGTATTTTAGGTCCTGGTAAAAACAATCTTCCAAGAGCAAATCTGGGAAGCAGTTGGGATAATAGCATTCATTGTTTTAAACCTGGGAGTGATTCAGGTCTCTGTGAAAAGAAGCAGGAAAAGGGAAAACTAACCTTGGACAGCTGAGAAAGAACTTGGGTGGAGGAAAGAAAGAGAGTGGAGTGCAGACTCTCAAAGGCAACCCCGAATGGGAGGAGAGGGGGTGTTCCATTCCACTTAAGAGTGTTTTGTGCAGGAAGCTGTGAACCTTGCCTTTTCTCTTATTCCCTTTGGGTTCTCTGCTTGAATGTCACTCTGTTGGATGAGGCCTTCTTATCACCCAATGTAAAAATAATTCCTCCCCACTCCCCACTCTTTCCATTCTTCCCATCTGCCTTACACGCTTTATGTTCCGCCACAGCACTTACTGGATTTACTAAACTTCCTAGTTTTTTCTTCCCTCTTAGACCCATAAGAATAACAGTCACAAGGAAAACATGCACTTCAAATTGCTGACATGTTTTAGAAAACTGTGAAACCAATTCCATACCTTGTGACGTTGGGGAAAATGAAAAGATTAAAAACATGAAAAGTGTATCAAAAGCAGTAAGGGTACCACTACGTGAAATGCTTGTTTCAGCTGCAGACATACACATAAATATGCACATGCATTATATTCATGCTGGGTAGGGATGTAAAATACTTCTTATTGAGGATCACAGTTAAAAATGTATGGAAGGGGCTCCCCTGGTGGTCCAGTGATTCGGAACCCACTTGCCAATGCAGGGGACACGGGTGCGATCCCTGGTCTGGGAAGATTCCAGGTGCATGGAAACTCATGCACCACAACTACTGAGTTTGTACTCCAGAGTCCACGAGCAGCAATTACGGAAGCCTGCAGACCTAGAGCCTGTGTGCCACGAGAGCAGCCACCACGATGAGAAGCCCGCCCACCACAACTAGAGAGCAGCTGCCACTTGCCACAATTAGAGAAAGCCAACGCAACAATGAAAGACCCAGCACAATCAAAAATTAATTAATTACTTTTTTAAATGTATGGAAGCCACTGGCTTAAAATGTTTAAAGGGGTGTCAAGTCCTAAATGATTATTTCCTTAAATGGAAACTTACAGTCAAATATAAACTGAACAAGTCCCAACAGGTATGTGTATGTTTCCGGGTATGACAGGCTTGCTAACTGAATGTCCTGAAGATGCCCATGCCCTAATCCCTGGAGCCTGCAGATATGTTAATGGACACAGCAACGAGGACTTTGGGTTTGATTGAATGAAGGATCCTGAGATGGGGAGGCTATCCTGGATTCTCCAGGTGAGCCCAGAGTAACGACAAGGGTCCTTCTAAGAGGGAGACAGGAAAGAACACTCCCAGGGTTCCCTACACATCTCCCTCCAGTACCAAGCTGTATCCCTTTTGCTATAATAAAATCGTAATTGTACGTAGAGAGCTTTCCTGCGCTTGTCCTGAGTCGTCCTAGCAAGTTATTATAGAAGCGCTTGAATTTGTAGCCAGTCGGTCAGAAGTGAGGCCCTGGGAACCCCAAGCTGGTGTCTGAAGTCCTGGGGGGCAGTGCCTTTAGCCTGTGAATTTTGGGTGCTTGGTTTGAGAACTCATTGGAACACGTACAAGGCTTCTCCTGTTACCTGTGACATCAGCCTATTATGACACTAGGATGCAAACTATACTGGAAAATCTATTTAGATTTTCTGTAAAACTTCTGTAATTTTCTTTGCTAGGATGTGAATTACACTGGAAAATTATTTAGGAATTCTGTCATTTCCTTTCCTAATCAGAACTCCTTCATATTCCATGGGTCATGTCAATGCCCTTAGACTTCTGGAAATATCCAGCTTGAAACAATTACCATATATGTCATACGACTGCTTGGGTAGTGGCTATTTAGAAGTTCAGTGGGAAGTTGGCTGGAGGGATGAGGCAGTTCCTGTTTGTAAGCAGCCAACTTGAAATTGTTACATGAGAAGTGATGAACTATAATGCCTGGCATCTTGGTGTGGCTAGTTTTTGATAATTTAATGATACATTCTGATAACTGTGAACAGCTTTTATCTTATAAGTTTACTGAGTATGTACTGTTACATATTGAAATATGTTAAGAAATTAGAATTACATTAGAGGTTCATGGGGAGACAATTTTCCAAAATGATCCATTAAATCCTGAAACATGTGGATGATGAAGAGGTCCAAAAAAAAAAAACTACAAAAAAAAGTTTGAGAAAGTGGGGGGCAGAAAATGCTACCAGATTTCTTAAGAGAAAGACTTGGTCTATGGCACAAAGCTGAAGTGTGACAATATGGAGGCTTATGATTCCAGAGGTCCAGTGTGCAAAGTAAAAACACTGTAATTTAACTATACTTCAATCTAAAAAAAAGAAAAACAAGACCCTTTCCAGTGAAGCAAGTATGTAACATTCCTGAACGCATCAAATGTGAAGCAACATGTAGACCTGAGAAGGGAGATGGACAAACGAAGGCAGATTGGTGACTCTCAGAATTCAGGGCCTCATCCATCATGTCTGCAGATAAGCTTCTCTGCTTCATTTTTCAGGCAGAGGGGGAATATATACATTTACATTTCGTATGAATATCTAATATGTTTAAATGGGTAGAAATGAGGAATATTCAAATTAAAGAGAAAGGAAAGAAGAGGAGGGAAAGGAAAAGGCGGTTAGAAAGTGAAGTGAACAAAGCAAATCTGAGCGAGGGCAGGAGAACCAATGGCCATGGAGAGGCTGGGGATCTGGAGGATGAAGCGCATTTCATGGATGAGGAAGGCTGGGGTCACAGATCAGGAGGAACTGTGAGGAGAGCTTCCTCACCCCTGCTCCAAACAATAGTAAGTTTGAGAGTAATTTCTTCACCCAAGAAGTATGTATTAGGCATCTATCACACAGAAGGGCCATCAGAGGCTTTGAACAGAGACAGCAAATACAACTGCCCAAATTCTTACTTTTACAGGGAGACAGGTGATGAACAAGGAAATAAAGACAGGTTACTGGGTCAGGAGGTGATCAGTGCTTAGACACAAATTAAGACAGGGTTAAGGCATGGAGAATGGGGAGAAGATGGGACAGTAAATCGGGCAGACACAGAAGGGCTGTCTGATGAGATGAGATCTGAGCAAAGACCTGAGTGAGTAAGGGAGTGGCTGGGGGCCTGGACACGGAGGCAGAGAGCAAGTCGAAGGCCAGGAAACAGAAGAGAACACTCCAAAAGGGCCAGGATGGCAGGGATGATGTAAGCAAAGGTAAAAGGCCAGGTGATCAAAGAGGAACTTGGTGAGGAAGCCAGGTCAGGTAGGGTCCTGCAGTCCACTGGAAGGTCTTGGAGTGAGATGGGAGGCCTTGGGACGGTTTCGAGCAGAGACATGGCATAGTCTTACCTGCTTTGTAAAGAACCAGTCTGGCTACCATGTGAGATTATAGGAGTGCAAGGGTGGAAGCGTGGAGACAAGTGTGGAGGCTGCTGTCACAGGCAAGAGACAATGGCATGGATGTGGAGAGAAGCAGATTAACTAATACCTGAAGTAACAGCTGAGTGGATCTCACTGGAATGCCCATTTCTTTGGGTTTCCCTCTCCACTGTCCACAGTTTTCCTTCTGTCTCCAACTGGGATACCATATCTGCTTTGAAGGGAACATGTCCTAGGAAAAGCCAGATTTATATATTTAAGGTGAACACACAGCTAAAAGAGATCTTTGTCCAAATTCTATAACCCTTGAGTGATATTTCAAAAACTTTTTGATCACAAACTGTAATAAGAAATAAATTTAGGGAACTATACTCAATGTTTTGTAATAACCTACAAGAGAAAAGAAACTGAAAAAGAATATGTATATACAACTGCATCACTTTGCTATACACCTGAAAATAACACAACACTGTATTAATGTATCAACTATACTTCAATTTAAAAGAAAAAAGAAAAAGAAATGTAACCTAGTTCATGACTATATGTAGATAAAATCAGATTTAGCCAATGTCTGTTTTTATCATATTTCCCACATTGTCACACTACTTAATGCAAACGGTCATGGGTTTTGCTGCAATGTGAGTGGCTCTTGATAAGGAACTCTGACAGTTTCTATTCTTATTCTATTTTATTGAAAAAAAAACAAAAATAATCCCAGTGCAATGACCTAAGGTGACTCCATGATCCACCAAAATATTTGACAAGGTATAGAAGCTAAGCTGCGCATTTCTAGTTCATCTAAAACAGGGTTTTTCAACTGAGGCACTAGTGATATTCTGGACTGGCTATTCTGTGTGGTGGGGGTTGTGTTGTGTACTGGAGGAGGTTTAACCACATCGCCAGCCACCAGATGCCAGTATCACCCCTCCCTCAGCTGTGAGAATCAAAACTATCTCCAGACATCACTAAACATCCCCAGGGACGCAAAATCACCCCTGGACAGAATTTTGCCCAAGTAGACAGGGACCAGAGAAACCTGTGAGTTAGAAACATCTCTGTCTTCCAGGTCAGGGAACCATTTCAAAAGGTCCAAAGTGGACAAAGAAATGACAATCCACTCCAGAATTCTTGCCTGGGAAATCCCATGGACAGAGGAGCCTGGTGGGCTATAGTTTGTGAGGGTCACAAAAGAGCTGGACGTGACTTAGCAACTAAACCACAACAAAATAGTAACTATAAAACTAACCTTCAGTTTAAAAAAAAAAATGGCTAAAAGGTCCAACCCTTCAAACAAAGAAGGATCAGAGACTCTCATGGGGGATGAGGTTCAGGGTCAGAGGTCGCCCGTCCTCACCGACTGAGACCAAGTTCCGGAAGTTCTCCACCATCACATCCTGGTACAGCTTCCTCTGGGCCGAGTCCAGCAATCCCAGCTCCTCCTCAGTGAAGACCACAGCCACATCCTTGAAGGTCACGGCCTCCTACAACATCAAACACGTGTCAACTCAATCTTACAACCTCCACTAGAAGGACAGGCATCAAGCAGGATAAAGAAGATGAACCCCCAAAAAAGTTACTGATTTGGAGCGACTCCAGGCAGTTTTCAGTCCCAACACTTGTCTCTCTCTCTCTGTCACAATGCTGTCACCTCCCTACCGCCCCACCCCATCACTGTTTTTAATGTCTGCAAAGTTCACAGGCCTTCAGCAACCCTCCAGGACAGGTACACAGCTTCTGGTCTGTGCTTTAAAGGCATGAGCCACATCCAGAAACTGCTGCACGCACAGCTGGTGAAGGCATAGGCTAGGTTCACACTTCAAGGCTTTAATTACAGGACACTGGGCAAATTCCCTCACTCTCACTATCTTAATTTCCTCTCTATAATCATATCTAAATCACAAGATGTTTGAAAGGATCACATTAGCGAATACATGTAAATCACTTACACTGGTGCCTGGAACATGATAAGTGCTCAGTAAATTTGAACAAGCAGTTTTATTATAATCTCTTTCATTTCATTTTGTGACTGTACAGTACAGTATTCCTTAGAACTGGTGATTTAGCTTTATTCAATTCAAATAAAGTATAATTAGTTACAGACATTTACTTATCATCAATGCTGTAAAGATCCTTTTTCAGAGACCTTAGCCAAGAAGTAGTATTTGCAAAATCAAAGAATATGCACTTTAAAATATTTGAAAGTGTAATGGCAGGTTTCCCTCTCAAAAGGTTTTCCCGATTCACCTTTCACATGAAGGAGTACAAATGTTTCTGAATCTCTAGACAGGTTAATTAGAACCTAGAGCCTTGTTGGGAAAGACTGAAGTCAGGAGGAGAAGGGGATGACAGAGGAGGAGAACAGGATGACAGAGGATGAGATGGTTGGATGGCATCACCGACTCAATGGACATGAATTTGGGCAAACTCCGGGAGTTGGTGATGGACAGGGAGGCCTGGTGTGCTGCAGTTCATGGGGTCACAAAGAGTTGGACGGACTGAACTGAACTGAAAGCCTTAAAAAACAAAACAAAACAAATTCAAGAATCTAAGTGAAATAAATAAATAGAAAGATTTATCAACATTTTCACACAGTTATTATCATCATTATTTTCTTCATAAATCTACTTTCGTTTTTTTTTTGATTGACACATCTATTAATTTCTTTTGCTAATATTCCAATTGGGTCTTAGTTTGTCTTGCTAATTTTTTTAAGAATTAGAGATATTAAACCTTTATCTAATGTTTACACGTACACCTCACTGGACTTCCCTGGTGGTCCAGTGGTTAAGAGTCTGCCTCCCAATGCAGGGCACAGGGGTTCAATCCCTGGTCTGGGAAGATTCTATATGCCGTGGGGCAACTAAGCCCACACACTACAAGCAGAGAGTAGCCCCCTCTTGCCACAACTAGAGAAAGCCAGTGTGTAGCAACAAAGACCTAGCACAGCCAATAAATCAATAACACACTAAAATTCTAAACAAATAAATAAATAAGTATATCCCATCAGTTATAATATTGCAAATATATAGTTGTGAATGCCTATGAAAAAGGAAAATGAGAAAGTGAAAACAGCTAGTTTGTAAGCAGGGTAGCAGTATAAATTATGTTTGTCTATTTTAAGTTTCCCTAATGTTTTCAAAGATTGCTTTGTGAAACAAAGATGATAAAACAAACAAAACACACAGCCTAGCACACAACATGCACTCAAGATGTGTTGTGTTCATTAAGCTTTCCAAGGAAGATTAGGGACAAAGATGTCCCTAACCTCTGAGAAATAAAATCCTTAGAAGACAGAAAGCAATGCCTTACTTACCTGAGACTCGGTCATTTTCTCATGTTCCTTCTGGGGAAACTCAGAGTCCTGAGAAGGCATAACTGGGGAAGGACAAAGAAGCCATGAGATGCAGGCCACGGCTTTCATGACCCCATGTGGGTCTTTGCAGAAATTATGCATGAACACGCATGCTCCAAGGCAGATACGCCCCCATAGCTTGGTAAGTAGGGCTTGGAGTAGACTGCAGCTACTAACAAGACTGTCAGCCAGCAGCCACTGGACAAAGAACAATCTGCACAACCAAACACAGTTTCCCTACTGTGAAGATTTCTGATCCTACTGTACACAAAACAAAAAGACAACCTATGGAATGGGAGGAAATGTCTGCAAATGATGCGACCGATGAGGAATTAATTTCCAAAATATACAAACAGCTCATACAGCTTAATATCAAAAATGCAAACAATAGGGGGACTTCCCTGGAGGTCCAGTGATTAGGATTCCAGGCTCTCACTGCCATGGCCCAGGTTCAATCCCTGGTTGGGAAACCAAGATCCCTGCAAGCTGTGAGGTACAGCCCAAAATACAAAATAAAATAAAAATAAATTTCCAAAAAAGCAAACAACCCAATCAAAAAAACGGGCAGAAGACCTAAATAGACATTTCCAAAGAAGATATACAGGTGGCCAAAAGGCACATGCTAAGATGCTCATCATCACTAATTATTAGAGAAATGCAAATCAAAACCACAATGAGGTACCACCTCACACTAGTCAGAATGTCCATCATTTAAAAAGTCTACAAATAATAAATGCTGGAGAGGGTGTAGAGAAAAGGAAACCCACTTACACTACTGGTGACAATGTACACTAGTGAAGCCACTACCGAAAACAGTACACAGATTTCTCAAAAAACTAAAAGCAGAGTTGCCATATAACCCAGCCATTCCACTCCTGGGCATATACTCAGATAAAATTATAATTCGAAAAGATACAAGCACCCCAATGTTCACAGCAGCACTATCCACAACAGCCAAGACATGGAAACAACCTAAATACCAACTGACAGATGAATGGATAAATTACATGTGGTGTATACATATGCAAAGGAATATTACTCGGCCATTAAAAAGAACAAAATAATGCCATTTGCAGCAACGTGGATGCGCCTAGAGATTATTATACTAAACGACGCCAAAAAGAAAAAGTTAAATACGATATGACATTACTCCTTTGTGGAATCTAAAGTATAACACACATCCATGAAACAGAAACAAACTCACAGATATAAAGAACAAACTGTTGTTGGGGGTGGGGGGCATTGGACGAGGAGAGGATTGGGAGTTTGGGATTAGTAGATGCAAACTATTATGCACAGAATGGGTAAGCAATATCCTACTGTGTAGCACTGGGAACTGTATTCAATATTTGGTAATAATCACAATAAAAAGAATATAACCGAGTCACTTTGCTATACAGCAGAAATTAACAATAACTATACAACAAGTATAGTAAATCAACTATACTTAAAAAATATTTTTTAATATTTAAAACCAAAAGTAAATTAAATATTTTATATCGTTATAATATTTATTTCAAAAACATATGTATTTATAGTAGAAATACACACGTACATATTAACAAGCATATTAAACATTCTCAGATGTATTCAATAGATAACTGAACGTTTTCCTAGTGGTAAGGAAACCTGATTAACTGAAAACAGATGACCGACCAAGAAAGACCTTTCATTAGTAAGTACCTGCGGCTATGCTCTGAGGAGCCAGGAAGTCCTTGCTTTCCCCCCTTTCCGGATTCAGGACGGGCGACGAAAACGATGCGGTGGGACAGAATGACTGTGTCCGTCTCACGCTTCCTGTATAAACTGCAGTGGACATTCCGAGGCACTAGCGCGGGGTGACTCAGTGCTTCCTACAGAAACAGATCAGTCAAACCTCGGAAGGAGCTGTCTCCGGACAGAAAGGCCACGCCATCGCTCCTGGGTGTCTTCCCTGGGGAATCCAGTCAAAACGATGCTCCTGGGAAAATGAACTGCATCAATAGCAAAAGGCAACCCGTTAGGTGCCGCCAGTATTCGAAGCTGCTGACACGTGTGATCTTACTTGAATCTAATCACAACCCTAACCAGTAGTGACCAAATCTCTCGCAATCTTACAGAGGATAAAAGTAGGGGCAGTGATAATCAACAGATCGCCATATATCGTAAGGACAGAAGTAGCACCGCTGCTTGGCAAGCCAGGGAGGACAGCAGAGGGATTCCACACTTCTGCTCTCCGCTTCTCGGCTTCCGCCGGCGGCCACGATCTCTCCATACTAAGACAGATGGCCAGGTAGTGACTCGTACCACGCTCAAGCCAGAAAAGCTCGGAGGGGTCGAGGGGCGCAGGGATAACTCACCTCCCAAGCCGAAAGAAATGGTGGCAGCTGCGCTTTCCCGGAGCGGAAGAGCCTCTGACTACACAGAGCTCCGGAACTACATTTCCCAAAAGCCCTGGAGAACAAGAGCAGCAACCCCTCATTTCCGGATAGAGTTCGGGGGTTGGGGTGGAGGATGGAGAGGGGGCGGGGTAGGGCGGCGAAATATATTTCCTGGGACCCCAAGTGGAGGAAGGGCCATGCCCGCCCCTTTGGAGCTTTAACCCCAGACTCTCGGGAGTTCTCGGCCAAAGACTTCCAGAATATTCCTTCATGCTGTCCTGTTAGTGCCAACCTAAAGCAGTTCTCTGACGCCAGTAGAGCTTTGCTTTATCTCATTGATAAAACATAACAAATATTTGAAGAGTCAGAATCTTAATAAAAAGAACTGTAAGAAACGTATCAATGCAGTAGGACTGTAACCACTCTACCAGAAAAAAACAAATGGGGCGGGGGGAGGATGATAGCTTTAAAATGTAGTTTTAACGTTTTTAGATATGCATGAAAGACCCCAAGGTGCAATGGGGGAAGATCATCGATTTCTACTATTGTTAACAGAAAAGTCAAATAATTCAGAACTTGGCTGCTGAGGACAACTAGACATGAAGTGGAAAGACAAGTTTCGTAGCCTGTTTGATCAATTTCTCAGTGCAATCAGGGCCTTTGTACTCAATCCTCAGAGTTGCTAAATTTGAAAGATGAAAACATTATTGTTAGTTAGCTGTTTAGTGGCCTCAGTCGTGTCCAACTCTTGGCCACCCCATGGACTGCAAGCCTACCAGGCTCGCCTGTCAAGGGGATCTCACAGGCAAGAATATTGGAATGAGTTGCCATTCCCTTCTCCAGGGGATCTTCCACCACCCAGGAATCAAACCGGGGCTTCCTACACTGAAGGCAGATTCTTTACCATCTGAGCCACCAGGGAAGCTCCTAGCTGTTAAGTCTTGGGCAAATAAGATAAACTCACTAAAAGTAATTTAATTTTTCAAAAGCTGGAAGAAGAATTTTCCTTGTCCAAAGGACAACTAGACATGGAGTGGAAAGGCAAATTTCATAGACTGTGTGATCAATTTCTCGATGCAATCAGGGCCACTGTAACCAGAGAGTTACTGAATTTGAACTTTTCCTGTCCTTTTTCTTATAGCAATTTCATAAAAAAAACCCAGTGCTTTTGGATCCTTTCTCTAACCTTCCGATATGCATGAAAATTTTGTAAGACGCTAAGTAAGCTCTGAAGATCACAACAAACTGTAAATTTCTTAAAGAGAAGGGAATACCAGACCACCTTACCTGCCTCCTGAGAAACCTGTATGCAGGTTAAGAAGCAACAGTTAGAACCGGACATGGAACAACGGACTGGCTCAAAATTGGGAAAGGAGTAGTCAAGGGGGTATATATTGTCACCCTGATTATTTAACTTATATGCAGAGTACATCATACAAAATGCCAGGCTGGATAAAGCACAGGAGTTTGAGCAGGCAGCGGGAGTTGGTGATTGATGGATAGGGAAGCCTGGCATGCTGCAGTCCTCGGGGTCGCAAAGAGCCGGACAACGAGTGAGCAACTGAACTGAATGACACTACTTTAATAATGCGGATAATGAGACCAGGACAGGGTAAGTAACTACCACAAAATTATACCCCTAGGAAGTGGCAGAACTGGCTGGTAGTTGAGGGAGGCCAGTTGAAGCGCCGGGAGACCTTCAAACCAGACGACCAGCGACTGGGCAGTCCCCAAGTTGGGGCTACAGGAACTTCTCTAAACTGGAGGCTCACCGGAGGGGAACACAAACTCTGCAGCCGGACGTGGTTTCTCTTACTCTCTCTGAGGAAGAGGGTCAGAGACTCACTGGCTTCACCACCAAGATTAGCCGGGCCCCGGGAACTGAAGACACTTCTACCCGAAGGGAAAATGGGAAGTAGCCAGTCCCTCCTACAGCGAAAGCACCGCCTATCTACTAGAGACAGCCAGTGGACCACTTCCCAGAATGCTCCAGCAGTCCAAAACGGAAGTGCTCTGTGCTACACGGACCTCAGACTACACGTCCCAGAATGCCCTAGAGAAATGACTGCCACGGCCCCGCCCCCTGAAGTGGAAATACTTCTGAATACCCTGAACTTCTAGGTATGTATTCTAGAACGCCAGCGCGGAGTTTGGCGAAATTGTTGCGTTTGGGGCTACTACTGCCTTTCTTGAGAATCCCAATCATTATAGTGTTGAAAATTGAGCATCACTTTAGCCACGTTCAAGGGGCTTGAGAGGAGGTTGGGGTAGGGAAGAGAAGTCAGTAGTAAAACTTTAAAGAACTGCCCTATAGGAATAAGTACATAGGTTAATGAATCACCTTTGCTGGAGACTAAAACTAAACTCTGAATCACCTCAATTACTTGAAATCGGATTAGCCTGAATCTTTTCTGTTAGTTTCTTCAAGCACTTAAGTCCCGGCTTCCCTGGTGGCTCAGATGGTAAAGAATCTGCCCGCAAAGCGGGAGACCCAGGTTCGACGCCTGGATTGGGAAAATCCCCTTCAGAAGGAAATGGCAACCGACTCCAGTATTCTTGCCTAGAGAATTTTCCATAGACAGAGGAGCCTGGCGGGCTACAGTCAGTCCATGGGGTCGCAAAGAGTCAGTCGGACACGACTGAGCTACTGACACTCAAGCACTTAAAGGGAACAAATGACAATTCTCTCTAGGGAAGATAACATTATCCAAGGTTCCAAATTACTCCTATAATTTAAAAATAATATAGGGCAAAGTAGTCCTTAAAGAAAAAAGCATTATAAAATATATCAAAAAAGTTTATAAATGTCAAACTACCAAGAATGGGTTCACATAAATTATAAAGCAAACTTGGAAAAGCAAAACTGACAGAACCACAAGGAGAAAAATTCACTATCAGAATGGGAATTTTTAATACGTAATTAGGAAGAAGTGTGGGATTTTGAAAGCATATACTAGTACATAAGCTAATTATTAAAATGAAAAAATAACTCCTTGGTAATTTAAAAAATAACAAAAAATACAGTAAGTAGATGGAAGCAAATGAAGAGATCTATGAAATAGAAAACCAACAAGGACTTCCCTGGATGGGGAACGAAGATCCCATATGCAGAGAGGTGTGGCAAAAAAAAAAAAGAACAACACTTTAAAGGCAGTAGTTTTCCAGCCCTTGACTTAACTCACTAAACTATACAAATTACCTTGAGAGTTGGTGAGCTATTTTGATATCTACTCAAAACAAACTATAGCATCTAGTGCAATTTGAGGTAGCATGGACTTTCATACTCATATGAAGGTGTGGTCTAGGAAATGAATCTGGGAAACCTGCCTCTCGAGTTATATACATACTCATTTTTGCTGAGTGAAGTTCTTTAACCAAACAAGTGTTAAACATCAGTGAAAAATGAACTAAGAACTAGGAAATGGTATTCAAACCTCAACAAGTTGTTCCCATCATGCTTTGTTCTTTCCCTAAGCACATCTTTTCCTTAGGGAAATCTTTGATAAATTTTACCCCCAAGACTTACATAAACTGACTTTTTATCTTCAGGTTTGCCCAATCAGTGTTACCTTGGTAAACAATTAAAACACTCATTTTGTAAATTCCTTCCACCCCATAGCTCAAGGTTCTTTGCGTTTTACAGTACCTGGAATGAACCAGTTACTTTCTTAATCAAATCAAGCACTTGAAAGGAAAAGCCAGTAGTCTGGATTATCCATCCATCAGCCCAGTAAGGAACAGAACTAAGATGTATAAATTTCTACTGTTGGAATTAAAATAATCTTCTGGGCTGCATGGATTTATGCCTAAACTTCATTAGTTACAAAAATATATAGTTATACTAGCTGATATTCTTCAGAGAAGGCAATGGCACCCCACTCCAGTACTCTTGCCTGGAAAATCCCATGGACAGAGGAGCCTGACAGACTGCAGTCCATGGGGTCGCTGAGTCGGACACTACTGGGCTACTTCACTTTCACTTTTGTGCATTGGAGAAGGAAATGGCAACTCACTCCAGTGTTCTTGCCTGGAGAATCCCAGGGACCGGGGAGCCTGGTGGGCTGCCGTCTATCGGGTCACACAGAATTGGACACGACTGAAGCAACTTAGCAGCAGTAGCAGCTAGTATTCTGTATCTTTGAACAACCATATACATTTCTTTTTATAATTGATTCCCAGAGTTCTATTCCTTAACTTGGGCTATATATACCACATGTTCTTACTGTGAGGAATTAGTATGTTTAGTAATTTTCTGTTTTACATAGTTTTTACTACCTACAGTACTATAAACATCATAGTATTTTACTGTAAAATTGATGCTTAATGAAAAATTTAAAATATGGAATCTAAAATGTGGAAACTCTCTGAAATTCCTGTCACTGTTTACATGAGGGTGAATACCCTTTTACAGATGACAGGATGCATTAACACGTTTAAGCTGTGTGATGTCCCTAAACTACATCAGCCTGTTACATGCTTTTGTCCCGAGTCATTTTTCTAGATTTGGTTTCATATACCAAAATGTATTTAAATAAACTAGTGAATATTTATTTCACTTTTACAAAATTTAGCAGCATCCTTGATGTGCTACTCACCTTTTCTACTTGAATCTCTTAATTGTAAGTTCTGCTTCTATGATTTCTGTCATAGAAGTCACATCCTGTATTTTGATATATACCCGCCAACTTCTCTTCAAGAAGAAATTTCTCAATCCATCGCTAGGAAAAGTGTGCAAGTCAGTCACTGAATCAATGTATTTGATGAAATGACCAACTTTCAACAAATAATTTTTTTCCTTTTATTTCAGGCCAGGAAGGAGTAGTAATGGAGTAGAGAACTTGATGAAAGTAATCTATTTTATAAACAGCATCTCTTCTCAACTTTGGAAGTCTTGATGAAAGTTAATACTAAGACCTTTGGAAGACTATCACATCAAAGCCTAGATGGAAATGGGGAGAATAAAAAAAACCAATAATTGATTCATTTACCAAGAAATGTTTGTCCTTTGTCACTGTCAATAACTCTGA